ATTAATTTTATGGGATAATGTGATTAACTCAATATGTTTTGTATTTGGTATTTTTGTAGAGAGATAAGAAAATTATTTATACAACATAGTTGTTTAACGTTCGGAATCAAATCAGTTGGACAGATCGGCTACATACATCTTCTGTATCTCTTTTAGCCCAGGAAGTATCTATTCTGATCTGTTTTTTGCATAATTTTATTGAAAAAGGGTTACTTTACACGAATCTGCATGTTACCAAGCCCAAAATTTCATCAACAAATTTGCAAACACATTTCAGAAACTGTTTTTTAATGAAAATGTAATGGGTAGTGACTTCAGCCCTACAAAATCCTACGTCCATAAATCGCAAGTTAGGTTACTTCTTTTGAATTCTTTTACAGTTTATTTCACAAAATTTAGTTTTCCCGAAAACCTCCTTAGTAAAATACAGCTAGTCATATTCTCTGAAGTTAACTACATCAAATAATCGTCATTCATTATTAGCTACTCATATTTGCTCGATTCATTTATGAAACTATGAGTTAAAGTTGACCACACTATCTTTTATCTATCTTTTCCGAAACAACTAAGTTTGAAACAAAAATGCTAATGAGCGTTAAAACAGTATCAAAAACGTACAAAAGAAGAAGAGGACTGACCATGCATTTAGAAAGAAACTGCAAGTTTTGCCTTGTCACACGTTGCCCGTAAATTCTTGAAGTTGTGCATTTGCACGATATTATCAGACCAACGCGACTCAAGACAGAACCATCCAGGAATACGATTTGAATACACTCGCGAAGTATAAATACCATCTTGAATTTAGCATAAACTAACAGCAAATCGATAAGTTCGTTATCGCTATAGGAAGATGGCGAATCCGGTGTATAAGATTTGTAAGTAAGCTAGGTTAACCTACACACCACGCGGTGCCGGATACTGACGCATATTGCGCCAGATTTTTCGGAACCTAGTACACTTTGAAGTATGTGTCTGCTTACGATTTGTGCTTGTTTTGTGTTGCGATACTTTTGAATACATTTTGGGAAAGCACAAAAGCCCTTACCCATCGAAACCATTTTGGTAGTGGTTGCATTTTGTAACAGTGTTACTAGAAAAACTTGCTGATTAAAAAGGAAAGGTTCATACGGAGAAAGGTATACGAGTATAACAGATATAAAAAACAATGGACAACATCTGCAAAAAGAAGGAGAGTGGATTCGAGCAGAAAATAGGATAGGTAACCCGAGCAATACGTGTTTCTGCCTAATGGCTTCATCATGCCCGAAATGAATGCACATACAAAAGTAGACACACATGCCTCCTATACATCCAGATGCGAGTAACCTGAGGAAACGAAGATGGAGAGGTAACAAAACGACACACGATATTGTATATCCAGAAGTTATGTTTTGTAGTGAAGTGGTTGAGAATGGAGAGAATTGAAGGTCGTTCAAGAAGATTTGTTGTTGAAGTTTATTCCTTCTCGGGAGCCATTCGATCAAAGTCCCCGATGGCACTGCAGCCTCTTGGCTTATTGTACCTGTATGTACCTTAATTGTTGAAGTTAGCAAGTGTTTTGTTATTGTAGCTCAAAATTTGTTTTAAAAGATTTTGAAATTTTCATATTGGTCTATAAGTGGAACAGATTCAAAGAAGCGCCCGAATTGTATTGAAATGCACAATAACGGTGCAATATAGATACTACCACAATATATACAGGGTGTTTCAGTTTATTGTTGCATAACTTTAAGATTCGATAGAACTTTTAAAATTAATGCATAAAGTCTATATAAACATGGGTCGAAAAATGCGTGGCTTCCGAAATACAGGGTGTTTAAATTTACTTTCTAAAATAGTTTTTTTTAAATATTTCGAACAATATTTGATGTATAACAGTGAAAATTGGTATACAAGGGTTTTTTGGTACGATAAAACGAACCATGGACATAGTTTTACTGTAGCCGCTAGAGGGCGCTCTCTACTGTACTATACTATACTAGTGTATTAAAATGACCGAAAATTTTTTCTTAGTGCAATTTTTTGCTTTTTGAATAAAAAACTGATTCTTCGCACTTTTCTACATAAAAAAGTTCTCCTGTGAGTTTTCGTTATAGTTAGCCGTTTTTGAGATATTTAGATTTTTAAGGTTCGATGCATTTTTTATTATTTATGGGAAAATAATATTTTTTTTTACATTTTCGATTTGGGCATTACAAGTAATTAAGATGATCGCTTAGATTATGCTTTTAAACACAGCAGTAATTCCTAACTCCAAATAAACACAAAAAAAAAAACAGAATATTAATTTGTTTAATTTTCCAATATTATTTTTAACAAATTAAATTAATTATTTACAACTAAAATGCTATTAGATAGTTAGTACAAACATACAAAATCTAAAGTAGTTGCTCGAAATGTAAAAGCAATTGTTCAATACACAATTCACATCTACGAATGATCGAACGTGGTATAGCATTATTCAAATAAGGCCTTATTTCATCACATGCATTCCTGATTCTGTCTATTAGCATATCTATTGTGGTACGGGAGTCTGGTACACTTTCTTCTTTTAGAAATCCCCACACAAAGAAATCTAATGGATTTAGGTCAGGGGATCGTGGAGGCCAGGCGACTGGTCCTCCACGGCCGATCCATCTTTCTGGATAATTTTCGTCCAGCCAGTTTCTAACTATTCTCGAATAATGAGCTGGACAACCATCAAGCTGGAACCAGGCCAATCTTCTTAAATCTAACATAACATCATCCCACATATTTGCATGTTCAGCCTTTAAAAGTTCCAAGAAGGTCGCAGCATTTAACCTTGCAGGCAAAAGGTAGGGTCCAAATAGTCAATAACGGTAGATACCAATCCACACGTTCACACTAAATTCATGCTGAAAATTTCTTTCCCGAACTGCATGCGGATTTTCATGCGACCAAATATGTTGATTATGAAAATCTGCCACTCCACGTCTAGTGAAGCATGACTCATCGGTCCATAAAACGTAACTAAAAAACTCCCTATTATTATCAGTTCTATCAAGAATCCACTGACAAAATGTGATTCTTCGTTCTCCGTTTCCTGGCTGTAGTCCTTGCACAGGTTGTAAATGGTAAGGACGTCTATGGTCATTTCTAAGAACACGGTGAACATGGCTTGCTGAAATTCCCAAGGCACCAGAAACTCTCCTAACACTTGTGGTCGGATCTCTATCAAACTCACGCAGAATCATACGGGTAAATCTGCGCTGACGAACATTTATGCTTTGATCCCTTTGGAGATTTCCAAAACCATTTTCAATTATTTAGCGATGCACTCTTACAAATACTGATCGAGTTGGATGTCGTCTGTTTGGAAATCTTCGTGCGTATTCTCTGGCTGCTTCTGCTGCGTTTCTATTTATAAAGCCATACACAAAATGAATATCCGCTAACTCTTGATTAGAGAATAAAAATCACATTTTTATAAAACTTACAAAAAAAAAACAGGTAAAAGAAACTAAATTTCGTGTATTCACAATTGCAAAAAAACGTTTCAGGTTTCAACAGACAACAAAACTAACTGTCAACTAATTGACGTTTAACCTTGTTCTGCTTTCAATTTCAAAAATATTTGCAAGCACAGCCTACTTCTAAAAATTATCGAGATACTGACTTTTTAACGTTATTTTATCATAAATAATTAAAAATGCATCGAACCTTAAAAATCGAAATATCTCAGAAACGGATAGCTATAACGAAAATTTACAAGAGAGCTTTTTTATGTTGAAAAGTGCGAAGAATCAGTTTTTTTTTATTCAAAAAGCAAAAAATTGCACTAAGAAAAATTTTTCGGTCATTTTAATACACTACAGATACAGTAGAGAGCGCCCTCTAGCGGCTACAGTAAAACTATGCCCATGGTTCGTTTTATCGTACCAAAAAACCCTTGTATACCAATTTTCACTGTTATACATCAAATATTGTTCGAAATATTTAAAAAAAACTATTTTAGAAAGTAAATTTAAACACCCTGTATTTCGGAAGCCACGCATTTTTCGACCCATGTTTATATAGACTTTATGCATTAATTTTAAAAGTTCTATCGAATCTTAAAGTTATGCAACAATAAACTGAAACACCCTGTATAGACTGTAACAAAAGTTTGGAACGCATTAACTATCTGACGAATGACTCAACTAATTTTTAATAAAACTGGCAAGTTAAGGTTTGAAGTCACGGCGGATCCGTTGATGATATCGTCGATGTTGCCAAATCTACAATTTTTCAAAAATTGTTAGCAACTTTTGTTTTTCTTATGGGATGCTTCACATTTTATTAGATATGTGTAGTCTGCAATAAATTCTGAATACTTTTTATTGAACTTACTTTGACGTAGACCTCATAGTTTTCCAAATAACAATAAAAAACTTTTTGCTGTGTACGTCGACGATCGTGATAACCCAGAATCATTAGAATTTCTATTGTCTCGGTTTCATTTAAGTGAATCGTTCTCAATAACTCTACTAACAAAACTCAATGGACTTTTGAATGTCAGTAATGACAGGAAATTACTTTCGATACCGGTCATTGCTTAGGTGAAAAAAAATACCTTTTATTGTGTGGATATTAATGTTTGACCCGGAATATTTCGAAAACTATGAAGCCTACCTCAAAGAATGTTTCATAAAAAGTATTCTCGCAGAATACAAAAAAAACTATAAGATTCCATAAGATAAACCAAAGTTGCTACAAGTTTCTGAAAAACTGTAGATTTGGCAACATCGCATATATCATCCACAGAACCATGGTGGTTTTGAACCAAAACCTACTAATTTGTTAGAGTGATTCGTCAGATATTCGATGCGTTCCAAACTTTTGTTACAGCCTATAAGCATTTTTTTTTTGGTCTTCAAACCGTTGATCCTTTTGGCGGCCTTGTGTTTAACAGACTTCTTTTCGGTGAGGTAGAATATACCAAATATAGCACTTTGAAAATTAAGAGCAAGACAGAAGCCTTAGTAACATGCAGTACTTACTTATTTTCCCCAACGGGTTCCAGTTTGAGATTTTCCGAAGGCATTTCCTAGCGCGTGTACGGTGCTTGGCCGTTGGGCGGAAGCAGCTTCAGTCCCGACTTGCAGTCACAGTCTTCCAATCTCAGTCAACAGCAGCATCCAGACCCCAGGTCACTACTCTCGCATCTTCCGTGCTGCAGCTACTATACTGCAAAAACACCCGAAAATTAACTGCTGCTTCATGTCGCTCCGAAAGCTCTGAGGCATGCACGTGCACGAATATTTTTTCAGGGGTATTCGGTATGTCTAAGGCCCGGATCGTCAGTCGTCCCTACAATTGTAGGGCGCCTTTATGGCCTCCTTGATTGTCATAGTTTTCTACTTCTCCGTGTCAGCGCTCTATTTTGAGGTTATGTCACAAACATCTATTTGCGTCAAATTGTGCTTGCTTTTGAGTTATATCATGTTTTATGAGCCTGAAATTTCCTACAAGTTAAAAAGAAAACATATCTTCACAATAGGAGAGCGCTGACGCTGACACGGGACAAGTGTAATCTAGAAATTTTTGAAGGAGAGAAAGGAGGATGACAATCAAGGAGGCCATAAACGCGCCCTACAATTGTAGGGACGACTGACGATACGGGCCTTAGATCATCAAGTGAAAAAGTATGTCCACGCTCGTCATATGAGAGTTGTTCCAGAAATAAGGTTCCCAGACAGTTCCAGCCACACGAGAGGCGCGACTGTTTCCCCTCTCTTGATTCACCACTGGTCGCGCTTCGCTGTGCCTCTGACTCTTGGCTCAGCAGCTTTCCGATATGGATCTTCCGATTTTTGATTTCGCCAAATTTTTTTATACCCAAGCAGCCCCTTAGGCAACTGGCAAGAGCGTCCTTAGGTAGATTGTTGTACGAAGTTCGACTGTTGAATTCCTCCATGTAGATTCCTGTCATCAACAAAGCTATGGATCCGATTGATCGTACAAGAAAATAGGTCGTTGATATGCAAGAGGAAAAATGTCGGAGCCAAGAAAAACGTGGTATCACAAGCAGCGATTTGAGTCTCACCATTAGATTGGATGAGCTTGCTCCACAGTTATGTGACATAAGCTAGGAGGTCCCTCGTGGATCGGGATTTGTAAGATATCTGGATGAGACGCGAAAGAACTGGAGCAAGCTCCAAGCTCCGCTGCACATCTCTTCAATGCAATGGCAGGAATCAAGTCCGCACCAGAAGCTTTCTTGATGTCGAGCGATCTTACGGTCTTCCGCATGAAGGTTACTTTCTGCATAGAGAAGGAAAGCCTTTGAATCGACGGCATTCGAGCGTTGGGGGTCCATGGTGGATTCGGCAACAAAGATCTTTGCAAGCTCTTTCGCCTTAGATTTTGATTCGGTTGCAATCGTACCATCCTGACAGGTAAGAGGTAAAAGTCTATTGCCTTCAATCTGATTGCCCAGCGTCCAGAAAGGCTGACTGCCATTGGGCTGTGACATTTCCCTGTGCCCAATTTTTCCATAGTTCTGGTCGTTGCTATTGCGAAGCGCTTTGTTATATTTGTTTCTGGACGACGCGACGTCGGCTTGTCTGTTCTCGACAGTGGACTTTCGTAAGAAGGTTCTGTATGCCTTGATCTTCTGCCGACGAGGAGTGCCGCACAATTTTTTGAACCAGCCGTTGGACCCTAGTTCAGGCGGTTTCACTGTATAATGGATGTATCCATCCATCCCAAAGTAAATAATTTCGGTTATTGACGAACAGGCAGCAGACGCATCTGGGTCAGGGAAAGAAATATCTTTTTAAACAAACGTCTCTGGAGCAGGAAATACTACTGCGGTCAAAAGCCCCCCGTTCATAGATTGGAGTGCACATAGCAATTTGGAAAGTTAAGATGGGCTAAGTCGGGTCAAGTGCAAAATTCGTTTTTTGCACGCCAAAGAGTCTCCACCCGTGGAGATTCCGTCCAAGTACAGCCTTAAGATAGGTTTCCATTACAACAAATGTGCCAAACATTTGTTCGGTCTACAACCTATTGCGGAAAAAGCACCGTATTCAAAAATTCACCTCTTGGCTTTGGGTGTTTTGATTGTGCTTGGGAGGTGAATGATGGACTCAGACCGTCGAGCGTGGCGGTACCACCCGGCGGTCACATGTTACATGCACACGTATTTCCCGCTAGACTTCGTGAGAAGTCCCTCCCCCTTTCCTCTGAATTCCACCATAGCCCCAAGGTACCCACCGATATTAAGGCCTTAGGCATAGGTGTGGTGGCTCAAGTATATTAAAAAATAGCAGCTACTTTTCCATTGAAGTTAAGTGTGAAGTACTGTTTGCCAAAATCTCCGCCCATGGGTTGTCTGGCGTTTTGTTTTCCTCAATGATTTAATGAATTCTGCCAAGCATCATGTATGCATGACAAAGATGATTTTAAATTAGCCGTAGGACGTTGCATTTTACTTTAGAAAAGCAGTGCTGTCGTTAAACGCACTTTAACTGACCCAATGAATATTTTCTGTAGTTTCTGTTCCGTAATATTATAGTTCATATTTTTGAGATATAAAGTACTCGGCGCTATGAAAGATAAAGGCTTAATGGAAAAAACACTGCATCGTTTCAGAAAAAATCCGGAATTCCTCATTTTTTTCAAATACTTTATTCCATCATTAGATGGATTCTTCCAAAAGGAAAATATTGATATACGACGCGTTTTGATGATTATTTATTTGTGAGTTATAGATAGAGTGGTTTATATTCTAGGTTTAGGGTCTTAAAGTATTGATGAAAGAACGGTCAACTGTGATTTTACTGATGACCTAAAGCTAACACTCAAAGTGCGATTTTCGTTGTCATGCGTGTTATATGACGGTGTTTAACTTTAATCAGAAGTACATACTCAGGTTAACTAGTTATTGCGTAATAACAACATAAGTTCTCGCGGATGACACGAGACACAAGTGTCGAGCATCACAAAATGCAGTTCAGACTAGACTTGAAAAACGAAATTACGCACTAGTAGAATTTAAAAAAACTGGGCCTAAGAGTTTCAAAATTTTCCAAGAAGGAGTTCAGCTGCCATCTGTAAATCAACTGTAATTTTTTACTAAAAGATTCGACTTACTATTTTGAGCAGCTTAAAAAATAAATGGTGGATGATTAGTAATGTAAAGCACTGCGTATTTGTAATCCACTAGGTTTAGGTACTGATTGATATTTTCAGCCGTCTATTGGAATCTTTCACTCTTCATACATCCCACTGACAGTTGAAAAGTAAAAACAAAATTCCATATACTCTTCTTCTCACGCAACACTCACACACGCTCCTATATTCAAATGAATCTCATTGCTATATCAATTTACATACGTGCATATGTACATTTCTATGGCTAAATTGATATTAATCATTGAGTAACGAGTACTGATAGTTACTGAAATTAAGTTAGGAATTTCGTGGATGGCAAATGATCAAATTATGAATCTATTTAGCTTAGAGAAGAGTATATATTAATTCCCAGCTGTTGAATGGTATTGTAGTTTGTATTTATTGTATTCGAAGCTCACCATCCGTGGGCTTACAAGCCTGGGTAAGCCGACTACTCTTTTGAAGAATTTGCTTGAATGAAGGATACAACAACTGGTTCGTTCGTATAGCAGTCGTCAACCGGTCAGTTCCGTGTGGAAGATCCAGCGCCACGAATTCCCTTCATTCTGTTTCGCTATGTCAACGAAATCCAGATGACCGAATCCTAGACACAGTGACTGACAAGCCACCGACCGCTGTAAGAACGAACCAAAAAATATTGAAATCTACTAATTTATTTTTTCACCACAATAGGTAGCAATGTAGTGCCAGTGGAGCTTCAAAAACGGCACATTCAAATGAACACGGATCGTTTTGACCAAAAACGGCAATGTTTCACTTAATTTCCCATTGTTCATCATCCGCTATGCATATCAAACCCGCCCCACTGCGCGCTTAACCTAAGACCACGCCTGCCGTCTATTTGGCCCCGCCCTATTGACACCATTTCGCCCCGCCCGCTTACGCGGCGGTGAGCCGTTCACAACTGCTCCTTGGGTGGATTGCTCTAGGGAGCAGATGAGTCAGTTCAGTGGGGTTCTGTATTCACTTTACACTGTCACTTGTTCTGGGGAAAAGATAAATTAGTAGCGGCACTCGCGTTCAAGTTTAGATGGTAATATTATAGGATAAAACACTTGGTAAGAAAGACACTCACTTATAGTGAATTGCAGACAATATAAGAAAGCGAATTTGAAGTAGAGACTAGTCAGGATCAAAAAATACTAACCCTCCATGTTTGCGTGGCCACTAAATAAGACTAAGCATGCTTGAGATATCGCTTACTGGCGACGTTTCGATAACCACGGTACCACGCTGGCCTTTTTCTAGTACAAGTAACATAACAGTTCCGATTTATCTGGCTTCCAGGTGACAGTCCGTTTGTTTTTCCTTTTCACATTCCTATACAGTCCGTTACTATAAAAGTCTGCACGGTTCTATGATATTCTGAGATTGCGCGGAGCCATCATTGCAATTTTAAGATGGCACCACGCACAACCAGCAAATCCCAGATAGCCTAGGTTAGGCACTCTTGCTTTCAAAAAAGACGTCTCAAAACAACAAGCGAACATGAGTTTATCGTCTTTTTTTCAAACTTATCTGACATGCCACCCTCGTCCATCGTCCCGAAAACGCGAAAACACTCAGAATTATTGTCGCACAGACCGGTTGATTGTTATGCAATCTTCGACTACAAATGCTGCATGTGTAATGTTTATTCGATAAGGTTCAACTTTGCCGCTCGGGTTGCTAGACAACGAGGTGTTTCTCTCTATTTCTGACACACCCTTCTTGCACCTCTCGTACAGATTACGACGTCAGTGGTACTTGGTTTTCAGTGTATATCTGAAATTGAATTGTTTGTCTCTGATATTTGATCATTTCTGGACATTTGAATAGCCTTGTAAAGCGAGGCGGCTTTTATCGGCTCAGAAAGCGATAAATGCTAAGCCACATGGGAGTTAATGAGGAGCTGATGCTGTCAGAAAAGGAGCTGATCTCTTCCTCATAGGATCGAATCCATCGTGCGATATTTCATCCAGCTCTGCTCTATGCGCTTTTTTTAATCAACCTTTTTGTTATCTGGCCATCCATAAACTTCAAGTAGATGCAGGCAGCGGGGTGGGGCA